CCTTTTAATTCACTATAAGTTTTAGCCCCACAGTTTTGCTTGTCAGCCCCAAGTGTGGTCTGGGATATTAAAACCCCTAGTTCAAACCCCTTGTGAAATGTGATACTGGGTCTATACCTAGCCCATATTAGTTAGGTATAGTGAGGTTGCACCACTATCCCTATGTGAATTTTTTTCTCCTATCAATTTTATTATGATATTGCTCCCAGTTCATTCATATGGATTGAATGCGGCATGGGATATCAAAACCATTGGCTTGGATCACTTTGGGAATGTTATATTGGGGTCATACCTACCTATGTTAGTTAGGAATGATAATATTGATCCTTGATCCTAATATGGATTTCATTCATATATTAATATTTTTGTAATTGTGCTCCCTAGTTCATTCACATGAGTTGACTATGGCCTGTGTTAACAAAGCTAATGTGTCACTTCTTTACAGATCATGTATAATCTCCCTCTCTCCCTAGTTTTATTCATGTGGAAAATATAGCCTAGGTTATCAAAGCCAACCATATCTCCCTCTCTTTGTATTCCAATATATAGAGGATATTTCATACTAGGAGTAACTCATGGATATGATAAACATTTCCTCTCCCATGTGTTTTCTTTCATAGTACGGGATATGCCCAATGTATGACTATGAAAACACACACACACACACACACACACACACACACACACACACACACATGGTAGTAAAAGAAAGGAAAGCTCTCAGTTGAGCGGAACTGATTGCCTTTATCATAGGTGGAACCTAATGTTACTCTTCAAGAGATCAAGTTCCCCCAGACTTCTCGCCCTTTTTTCTCTCCTTTGAAGCGTCTCTGTGATTGCTTCAGAGATGACCCTATACTTATTTTATTATGATCCTTTATGATTATTATTTTCCTTATTAGTGATGTGGTATATTTTATCCTAGATTTTAACATCCTTCCTCACGGGCTTGGATTTTTTAAGAAAAGATCAGCCCCTTTTCTGTTCTCTTTTGGAAACCCACTTTCCCTTTCATACCATACTCTTAGCTTCCAAAGTAGTTATATGGATGCATTGGTGTTACTTTTACCTCTTACAGGGTTCCCCCAGTTGGTTTAGGTATTGCCACTATGATCTTTTGATGATTGTTGACTCTATTTGAAATTATTATCCTTAGTGGTGAGTGTGTCCCCTCGCTACTTTAATTTGTCTCCCTAATTGTGATGTGGTACATTATGTCTCAGATGTTAGCATTAACTCTTTGTGAGCTTTGATTTTCTAACAGAAGATCAGCTCCCTAGCTTCTTTAGCCACTTACTTTCCTATCGGGCCCAACTCTTGGCTGCCAGAAAGGTTCCTTAGATGTGTTTACGTTGCTTTCACTTCTTATATGGTCCCATAAGTTAGTATGGTGTACTACTATAATTCCTTAAAGATTGTTTCTCCTTGATATAACTTTATTCTTTGTAGTGAGTGTGTCCCCTTGCTACTTTAGTTGTTATCCACTAGTAATGAGGTTGCCCCTCTCACTCTATTGATGGCATATCTCTTTTCATTGTTCATCTAGGCATTAGTCCGATGCTACCACTTCATAAAATTTAAGTGTTTCCTAAGAGATTCTACTAGCATTTGTGTACTCTTGGCCACAATGAATTGTCCTCTACCACGTGGTTACTGAAATATTAGCTCAGGATTTCTTAGATATGTGTTCCTTTCAAATTCTCCCATTTACTTTTCCTTTTCCCTCACATCCCTACGTAGGTGTGTGTAAGGTTGTTGTTGAGGTGTGTTTTGTCTTTTGCTTTGCTATTTCGATAGGTCAGGAAGACATTAGACTTTTGACTCCTTACTTATTATTTCGATATGGTCAGGTGAGTCTTGAGGCATTCTCATTTGCTATTTTGATATAGTCAGACAAATGTTGAACCTTTCTTGGTTGGGTGCCCGACAGAGTCCCTAGGAGGCACACTTCACCACCTCTTCATTCCCCCTATTTTATACCTAGGGTTAGAGGGTTATTGAGCTTTCTTTCACTCTTTATTTCACTATTTCATTATGGTCAGGTGAACATCGAGTGGTCTACATTCACTGTTTTGATATAGTTAGGCAAATGTCAGACTCTTTTACTGATTATTTTGCTATTTTAATATAGTCATGTAGACATCAGATTTTATGACTTCTTTATTCACTATTTTGATATGGTTAGGTGAGTATTGAGTCTCTCCCATTCACTATTTTGATATGGTCAGGTGAATATGGGATCCTTCCACCTTCTATTATGCTATTTTGGTATGTTCGGGTAGTTAGTTAGTTTACTTTCCCCTTTATTTGCTTTATGTCTCACTATTTAAATATAATCAAGTGAATATGGAGTTATTTACATTTGCTATTTCGATATGGTTAGATGAATATGAAACCCATTATGTTTGTTTCCTTATCTATTCTACCGTTATGAACGGGTAAGGAAGATAGATGATCTTCTTATCTTATTTCTTTGGTGATCCTACATGTGTTCCTTATTCTACTTTCCTTATCATATTCAATCAACACCAACATGCACGGTTCACTTATTGTTCGTTGCTCCTATCGGGGGTCTCTTTGTTGGCCTTGCTTTTTATTAAACTCGGGTCTAGGGGGTTGACTTGGAAAAATTGATCAAGCTAGACCCTAAGACCACTTCCATTGGGTTTAGTCTGTCAAACCAAGTTTATTGAGCCTAGACCCAGGTCATGGATCAACCTAGTTGACCAATTCAACCTAGGTTGACCAAACTAGCCCAAATTACCCTTATTTAGGTTTCAATCAATTTCAAATCCTCCTTTGCTCAATCCCAAATCAATTTGGACTTGATTGGCCAAGTTGACCTAGTCAACACTTAGCTTGGTTAACCTAACCCTTATTTGGCCAAATTTAAGCTATTTAGGTCAAATTCATTGACCCTTTATCATTTAAACCCATTCAAGCCTCCCATTGACCCAAAATATGGCCAATGAAGCTTAATTCCATACTAATTAACCCTAAAAGCCATCCTAGCCATCCATTATAGGGTTGGGAATATAAATAGGTGTCTAAGGCTTCATTAAGGAGGATTGTGTTTTTTACTTTTGCCCTAAGACTCCTCAAGCCCAAGCCTTGGCTCTATTGAGCTCCCCTAGTCTCCCTCCATCCCACCCAAGCCAAACTCACTGTTAAAGACTTGCTGGTGTTGAGATCTTTGACAAACCAAGATTTAACTCATTTTAAGTGAGCTTTCCTTCGATCCATAGCATTTTGAGCCGTGATTTCTTCTACAAATAGGAGCGTGGATAGTCTACAAGTACAACAAGCATAAGATCTCCTGAATCAATGTTTGGATTTGGTACAATCTCTAACCCTAGCTTAAAATACATAAGGTAAAATAGCTTTATGTTAAGCACTTTTCAAACCATATAAACACCTCCCCATGCTTTCTATTCACTTCCTCAATAAAGGTATAAAATTTCATGAGATTTCATCAATCCAATCGAGAGAAAACTTAATAAAACCATTTATAGGGTTTCAGTAGAGCTGTGCATGAACTGCACATTTTTGAGGCATTGATCTTATGATCAATAGCTTTGATCGCATCATTTCATAGTTTTTATCAATACTTGATTCGATCCCATGGTTGATCTCTCTATCCGGTTTAATCTAGACCATCTATTAGAAATGATGGACGATCCAACGGTTAGGATCTCATCCGACATGGATTTGTGAGGCCTCGTTTGTAGTTAATGATTGCAGCAATCATTAAATTAATTTAGGATATATTTTATATTTTAAATTATTTTTTAATTAATTATATATTTAAATATTAATTAATATTTTATTAAATTAAATTCAAATAATATCATGATTTAATTTAATTTTATAAATATTTTAAAAACTAATTATTATCAAATTATTTTAAATACATTTAATTACCTTAAACTTTAAATATTCATATTAAATTTAATTTAAATAATAAAAATACAAATAATAATTTAAAATTTACAAAAAATTAATGGTTTAAAGGAAAGCCCGTCGGCCCACCATCCTGTACAGGTCAAGTCAATCTCCAACCAACGTTCAACCAGGCTTGTCTTACAGTATTCAATAGTCAATTCAATAGTTAATATAAGAACAATGTAGAGCAATAATATCAATAGTCATATGCATATCTATTCAATTCATCAATCTCAGAAAAATAGGAAATCTTATGAAATTTCGGCGGCGTAACGACAGTCTATCAAATTTACACAAAAATCCTACAAAATCACAATTCACCAAATTACAATAGAATGTTCACGACAATAATATAAGACTATTATTCTACTGAATCCATTTCAATAAACATCCTGATATTTTTCTATTAGATAAAAATCACGTAGAACCCAAAATAACCGATGAAATCGTTCCAGAAAATAATCAAATCGTGTAGAATATTCATATCTATAACATATTAAAAGTTGTGCGGTGAAAGTTGTATCAATACAAAATTGGGTCCATTTTTCGATCACAAAAACACAAAACAATGCACAATACGATCAAAACTCAATATCTCTGAAAACAGAAATAGGATTCGGAGTCCTTACCACGAGATAAACACTTTTCCCAACAGCGGCGTCAGACGAAAAGCGCTCCGCGACCTCCGGAATCCGGCTTTTCCTTCGCTTTCCTTCTCTTTCTCTCTCCTCAGATATTTTTATTTTTATAAAATATCTTTCTCTCTCCTCAAAACGAGCTGATTTCCTTATAACATAAGCCTGATCGGCCCGGCCGATCGCCGCATCGTCCTGGCCGATGTGAACAAAATCCAATCGTCCAGGACGATTCCTCAGGCCGATAATTTCAGTTTTGCTCTCAGGATTTTTGTCTCATCTGATCGTTCTGGACGATCCCATTCAAGAAAAATCAGCTGTTTCAATGCACTGATCGTCCTGGACGATCTTAATATCGTCTCGGACGATCCTGGGAGGAAAAATCAAATCTGAGAGGCAAATCAAAGGAATGAGCTCTCACAAATGGAGTCTGTTCTAAACAGTGGACCTTGGTATGTTAACGAGAGTATTATCGGGATAGACAAGTGGTCTCCGAATTTTGACCCATCTTCTTTGAAAGGTTTGACAGCATCGGTGTGGATCCGATTACCAAACCTCCCTTTACAAAGTTGGGATAGAGTTAATGTTTGTAGAATTGCTTCAATGGTTGGTAAACCTTTTCTCATAGACGAAAACATGTTCCAATGGGGCCGGAGGGAATATGCTAGAGTTTGTGTCAAGATCAATTTGGATGATAAACTTGAACAGGGAGTTTGGGTTGAAGGAGCAATGGGAAAATTTTTCCAGAAAATTTGTTATGAGAGGATTCCTCACATCTGTTTCAAGTACGGTAAAGTTGGACATGTGGAGAAAAATTGTGGTATTGTAAGTTTTGAGACTGGTCCTAGCCATGGTGAATCCCAAGTTGCTAAGGAGGATGGGGAGTTAAATGTTTTTAGAAGTAATTCCAATATGGTGAAAAACTTACATTCCAATGTCAATAGAGAAGGTTATGGTCCTTGGATTCATGTCGATTATGGGAAGAGAAGGAGAAAGATTAACAACTTTCAGAATACATGGAGAACGATTCCAATCCAAGATAATAAAACTAAAGCAGCTAAGGAGGTGATTAAAACTCAAAATGGAGACAGTAATAATTCCTTGCTACCAGTTACAAAGTATCAAACTGAAGGGAAGTGTGTTGATAGATAAGAAGTTGTGGATAAAGATGTTGTTTTTTCAATCATCAATAATGAAGGATAGGACAGTAAAGCAGAAAACTTTATGTGTAACTCTAATCAGTTTGAAGTTTTATTCAATATGGGGGAGGAAGGTGAGATTATTGGTGAAGCTGCTGCAAATGACGACAGAAATATTCAGGGAAAGCTGATTATGGATGAATTCTCTGTTCCGGATCCAGTTGAAGACAGCAGAATTGGTACTGCTTTTGATAGCTCTCGGGATGTTAAAGATAATTGTATGGATAACGAATCTTGCAAATCAAAAAAGAAAGGTGCAAAGCAACTCAAAGGCTTGGGTCCTATTAAGCTAGTTCCTAGAAGTAGGAAATGGGAAGGTGAAGTGAAAGGAAGGGCGGGGAACCTCTTCCCCTCAGATCATTAATGTCTTCTATCGATTTTTGGAATTGTAGGAGAGCTAGGAAAAAGACAGCTTCCCTATATGCTAAGGAGTTTTTCAGAGATAATGATGTTTTTTTTCTTGGTTTGTCGGAAACTAAGTTGACGTTGATTGATAGTAAACTTGTTAAAGAGATGTTTGGAGATGGTTGGGATTTCTTTTTTGTTCCTTCTGAAGGATTGTCGGTTGATTTGGAAACTTGCTTTTGCTAAATTCAATGTTGTGGAGGCTTCTTCTCAAATTGTTGTTGGAGATCTAGAGGTTCTCAATAAGGGTTGTTGGAGAATAGCTACAATATATGGAAGTAAAGATGTTTATAAACGTAGGCTTCTTTGGGATGGCCTTGAGCGTGTTTTGGTTAAAAACACCCCTATGATCATTGGAGGGGACTTCAATTGCTTGTTGTCTAAAGAGGAAAAACAAGGAGGGAGAAAGTTTGCTTTCAATTTGGGATCAAAGGAAATGAAGGCTTTTATTTCATGTAATGATTTACATAACGTTTCTAGTATTTTCCCCAAGTTTACTTGGTGTAATAACAAGGATGGTGCTGAAAGGATCCTGGAAAAGTTGGACAGGTGTCTTGTAAATTCTTCAACTTTCAATTCTTCTTACAGGTTGTTGGTTAAGAATTTAGCAAGGCTTGCTTCAAACCATAGTCCGATTCTATTGAACATGTTAAACTTTAGCCCTCATAGCAAATCTCTTAAATTTGAGGAAGTTTGGACTTCTATTCCAGCTGCTACTTCTATAGTGTTATCTTCATGGAGGAAAAATGCAAAGGGAGATCCAGCACAAATTTTAAATCAAAAGATGAAGAGAGTTTTGGGAAATCTGCATTATTGGAGCAGAGCCAAGTTCAATGAACTCAATCTGTCCAAAAATAATCTCAAAACGGAAATTCTTGGTTTACAAGAAATGGAAGGGAAAGGAGTGGAACTTACAAGTGAGGAGCAATGGAGCTTAAAAGCATATATGGAAGAACTCAGCATTGTTTTAACTCGTATAAATACAATCTGGAAGCAGCGAGCTAAAATTAAATGGCTCTCGGATGGGGACTCTAATACCAGATTTTATCAAGCTTTTGCTAATGCTAGAAGAAACTCCAACTATATTCATAGTATCATAAATATGCAAGGAGATTTAGTGGAAGATCAAAAAGGTATAGAGGAGGTTTTATTTCAGTTTTTTAACAGTAAATTGAAAGACATATCGTGTGTTCTGTTTGGGTGGCCGGACCCATTTTCAGTTTTAGCTTAGGAAGACAAAGATTTCTTGGATAGAAAATTTTCTATTGAAGAGCTTGAGAAGGTCATTAAGAAGCTTGGTGGTAACATATCTCTCGTCAAGATGGTATGACTTATACCTTTTTCAAATTCTATTGGCACATTATCAAAGATTATTTATGGAATGCATTGGATTACTTTTTTGTTGGTGGTAAAATGAATGAGGATTGGAAAAACACCAACATTGTTTTAATTCCTAAAATTAAGAATCCGGTTTCTCCTTCCCATTTCAGGCCTATTAGTTTATGCAATTCTGTTTATAAAATCGCTGCTAAAATTATTCTTAATAGACTTTTGAGTGTTGTTTCGAAGTTGGTCTGTAATGAACAAGTGGCTTTTTTGAAAGGTAGATCCATTTCGGATCATGTTCTTGTGGCCCATGAAATTTTTCATAAGTTTAGGCATTCCAAATCAGCTAATGGATTGGTTTCTTTCAAAATCAATATGGAGTAAGCCTACGACTCCATGGGTTGGCCAACTTTGAAAAAAGTTCTGAGTTATTTTGGTTTTCCGGATTTCTTTGCTAATTTGATCATGGAGTGTGTTGTTGATCCTAAGTTTTCTTTGATTATCAATGGTATATCTTCTAAATGGATTGAGGCTAAAAATGGTTTTTGCCAGGGATGTCCATTATCCCCTTTTCTGTTTGTTTTATGTGCACAACTTTTGACTAATGCTTTCTATCAAAAGGGGAAATCTATTGGTATTAGTGTTTCTTCAAGGAGTCCTAAAGTTTCCCATTTGCTCTATGCCGACGACATTATGGTATTTTCTGAAGCCAAGTTGAATTCTTTTAAAATTGTTAGAAAGATTATCATGAAGTTTTGTGATTGGACGGGTCAAAAGGTCAATCTTCAAAAATATGGTATTCTTTTTGGTAAATATGTTAATAGAAGGAAGAGAAGGAAGATCTGCAATCTTATGAAGTTTAAGGAACTTCATGAATTCACTTATCTAGGTACTAAAGTGGCTTTGAGGAGGTTGAAGAGAATTGACTTTCAATTCATTTTGGATAATGTTTTGATTAAGCTTGGTATTTGGGGAAGTAAACTTCTTTCTATGGCAGGGAAGCTTACTTTGATCAACTCGGTTTTATTAGCATTACCAATATTTCATATTACCTTATCTTTGGTACCTAAGCAAATCTTATTGGAAATTGAGAAAGCTTGTAGAAAATTTATTTGAAGTAAAGGAGATGGGAAAAAGGGTCTTCATTATGTTAGTTGGGATTTACTTTGTAAACCGAAGGAGTTTGGAGGCATTGGAATCAATTCTTTTTTGAAGAAGGAAGGACCTTTAAGAGCTAAATTGGCGTGGAGGTATTACCATGAAACTGAATCTCTTATGCATAAAGTATTATTTCCAAAATATGGCCATCTGCTGTTGGAAGATTCTTCAAGGAGGTCGGGGTCTACTTCTTACAAACTGATTAAAAATGGGGGAGCTTTTTTAAAACTAATCATCAGATGGGAAATTGGTAAAGGTAATTTAATCAATGTTGTTAAAGATACATGGATCTTTGATAAATGCTTGTTGAAATGGCCTACCTTTATTCATAATTCGCTTGGAGAGGATCATCTGGTGGAGATTTTCATTAAAACTGGAAGCTGGGATTTACTGGAATTGCAGAAATTCTTTGGAACAGATCTAATGGAAATTATCAAATCTGTTCATATCAATGAGAGCAATGAAGATCGGATGGAACTTACTCATAAATTTTCTGGAAAGTCGCTGACTTCTTTATCTTTTGAAGCTTCGGAACCAAGTTATGCTGATGGTAATTCATGGAAGTGGCTTGATAAAATCAAACTTATTCCAAGAGTCAGGTTATTTTGGTGAAGATTACTTAATGAAGCCATTCCTACTAACAAATTTTTATGTTATAGAAGGCTCCAAAACTTTGATTATTGTCCTAGAGGTTGTGGGACAACATAAGACAATGAGCATATTATTTCTGGTTGTATAAAACTGTTAAAAGTAGTGGACATTTTAAACTCATGGGGATTCGGTAGACCAGTTTTTATTTCTCTGGCAGATTGCTTAAATTGGCTTAAAGCTCAAAATTCTTGGGTTAAAAGTCTTTATTACAATGTTGTGTTTCATTCATGGAAAGCCAGAAATCTTTTGGTTCATGAAGGGAAAGCTTTTAGCCCTTTGTATATAGAGTCCAATGCAGCATGTTTTATTGCTATGAACAAGAATTCTTTATGCAGTTTCTCAGGCATTGAGGGTATCAACCAACCTTCCAGGTTGCTCATTAATTGGTATCCTCCTCCGCCTGATTGGATCAAAGTGAATATTGATGCAGCTGTTCACAACTCTTACAAAGCCGGAGTAGGAGGTGTATGTAGAGATCATAGAGGGAGATTTCTGATGGCTTTTGGCAAACAATTTGTTCATTTGGATTCCGGAGCTATGGAGCTTCTTTCTATTTTATCTTTGAAAGATTATATCACTGATTGGATGAAGGAGTATAAAGGGTTGATTATTGAAGGAGACAACAAGAACGTTATAAATTTCATAAAAAATAAGGTGGACAAAGGAGGTACTGTTGATATTGATCTTACTTTCCTTAAGGATTTTAATTTTTTAGTTTTTAGTTTTGTTAATAAATAAAGTAATAAGTTAGCCGATCTCAGTGCTAACTATGCTTGTTTTAGTTCCTTCGTTTGGAAGGACTTGATTAGTTGTAATATTTCGGATTCCTTCATTAAATTGCTAATGAAGAATCAGATAGTATTAGGCTGTAACTATCTTTTTTTTCTAATATAGCATTTTGGTGCTTTCTTCAAAAAAAAAAAAAAAAAACTTAGTGATATTTCAAACACCTAAGAATCTTCTTGGAATTTTTAGGACTTTTTAAGCCACATAATTAATTAACCCTAATTTACCCAATTAATTAAACCCCAAATTTTTTTTAAAAATATAATAAATCTAAATTAAATCCAAAAAATATAAATAATATATTAAACTCTTTAAAATTTAATTCTTAATCCAATAAAATTAAAATCCCCCTAATTGGACTTTAATTTGAACACTTATTTAATTTCAATTAAAAAGTAACCTTTAATTAAATTAAATTAATTAAAATTTCTTTAAAATTGTAAAAATTTCCCAAACACTTGAAAAAACATCCTTAGGTCATTCTTGACCTTTGGAGGTTATCCCAAGAAGTTTGGAATTCATTTAAATGCAAATCCCTACAATACCTTTAATTAAGTAATTTTAATAATTCACTAAATACCCAAACTTTAAAAAATCATAAATAATTCCAAAAAACTCAAAATTGAG